ATAGAAGGATTATTAAAAAATGTTGCTAAAAATGAATGGAATTATTTTACTTTTTAAATTTAGGCTAATTCAACATTTAACGAAATATGCATATTTAATCCAATTATAAGGGAACAATAAAATAGAGCTATTGGTTTTGGATAATTTCCCTCATCTTATGAATAGACAAATTCATCTTAACATTTGTAAGTATTTCCGGATCCACTATAACAAAAATCAATAATATCAGAAGGCAAATCAACTAGCCAGAACTACATATTAGTAAAGAGACCAAAACAAATCATCATTAGAATAAATAAATTTTGTATCGCTAAGGCTGCAAAAACACTACTTTCAAAGTCTGCCCTCTTTTATGTTGTACTAATACTTATTGATTAAATATAATGAATATACTTTTGGATTATTCTAATTCTAGTTTATTCTGATTATTAACATCAAAGACTTTTTGATCATTCTAATTATCTGTTTATACGCTTCATAGCTCTATAAAAGATTGAACAAGCCATAAATCTTCCCAATAAATCATTACATTTAAGCATGATATTTTATGGTTCAAATACTTAAATTGAAATATCATTAGTTTTTTGTTATTAAAAACAAGTTTTCCAATTTGATAAAATAGGTGAGTAAGAACATAACATAAAATGAAGACGAGGTAGAACAAGATTAGTTTAAAATTCTGTAATATCTCAAAATAGAGATTCATTAAATCTTAAAGTAGCAGTTAATGAAGAGTAAACTTAGGCTGGAAGTTTGTTTAAATTGGTATGGCTAGGACATTCAATATCAAGAATCTTATTAAAAATTTCATTAACGGCTTGATTATCTAAAAGAATGCAAACATAAAATTACATTATAAGGTTCAACTAAAGCAGTTCCTTTAAAGGAGATTGGTAAATATTGATTGATTCCCATTTTAATTTACTTTGAATAATCATCTGAAAATCTTTCTAATAATAAGGCACCTAAACCTGAATCTGTACCACCCCTTACTGAATTAAATAAATTATTCCTTATTGATATGAACAATCTTCAACTAATTTTCTTACTCTAACTAAGCTTATATCTATGTATACTTTTCCAATTTAATAATGTCCACTAGCAAAATTATTTGAAGCTTATTCTTTGCCATATATAAATTAATTTTGTCTAAATAATCCTCTATTTGCTCCATATTTCACTTTTTATACTGCTTTTGATTCTGAGTCTATAAATAAAGATCTTGGTGAATAGTTTCCTTCTTTATTTTCTAAGAAGAATTTAAAAACTTCACCATATTCCTCTTAATTTTTTATTTCTTTTTTAATTAATCCATCATATTTAACCCCGTATTCTAAATAAAACAATTCCCAATAAGAATTCCCTAATTAAACACCACCTTATCCAATATGTAATGAGATTATTTTCCTCATATTCAAATATCTTTAAATTTTTTAAATAATAAAATGGTGTTTCTTATTTTGAATAATAATTAATTGGTTGAGTATTGTGATATAATAATTCTTAAGCATGCAATTTTTCAGTATTTTTTATAAACTTAATTTAAGATTTTAGTCCAAAACCTACGTAATGCTAATCTTGAATAAAAACTGTTTTCAGATTTAATGACAAAAGAGCCTATAAAGAAATATTGTTTATTAACGCGATTTTACATACACCCAACATACATATCATCAAAAATTTATGATATAACAACAAAATTCATTTGAATATTTATATAAAATTTAATTATTCCA